CTACCAGCCACAGATTGCTTGGATCGGGGTCCGTTGATGGAGGGTCCATCCTGTGTGTTAGTCCATGGCATGGAATCCGTACCATGATGCACCGCTGATGCCACACTACTTGCCACTGGTTGCTGCTTGGCCGATGGAAGTCCACTGGTGGAAGGTCCGCCCTGCGTGTAGTCCCTGATCGTCGCATGCACCCTTGGCTGTACGTCCGGTGGATGAGGAGGATCTTGGTGCAGGCCTGCCAGCTACAGCATGATCTGTATTTTTTGTTGATAAAAACACGCATCGATTGATTTACGATAATGCCGCACACACTTTTGCAATTATACGTACATGTGAATTCAATGTTACCAAAAAAAAAAAAAAAAATCATGGCTGAATCGGATAAGACAGTGTTGAATCGAGTATGTCTCTATGTTGGACGCAAACAAAATCATTACAAATACGATGATTAGATACATACAAATACAACTTCAACTTACCTGTACTGTTTGTATCAAGAGTCTCCTCTTGTCCTAGATAATACGTCATCTTGGCAAAGACCAAGCAGTGATGATTTGGCTCGTGAGCTCCTCGTATAACTCATCGCGTAAGGCGACACATCAGCCAGGCATGTACAGGCATGCAATCGCTGTACAAGTTTGGCCATGGTTGCAAAAATATGCTGAATGTACGAGTTGGCTAATGGCGAATAAAGTTGGAGCATCTTCTTAAGTGATCGGCAGACTAACTGAGGTTTAAAGCTTAACAGGTATGGGCCCACTCCACATGCAGTGCACTCCAAATCGCAACAAATCGTCCAATCATAATTGATACAACTTCTACCGTTACGTAATTACTTCACCATCAGCCAACCAGAGGGAAGCACAAGGAAGGAAGAGGAAGTGACCTCATACTTACCACGCCATTGGTCAGGCATTGTGTCCCTTCCTGGTCATTACTAACTCTATTGTCATAAACCCACACCACCTTCCTCTCTACCTGCGACCCATCCACACACCAAAGAATGTACACCCTTGATCATAACAAATGGACTTGGACATGATGCTTCCTTCGTATTTCTTGTCCCGCTTGTTTCCTCCCAAAACAGAAGTCTACTGTTCTCATTAGATGAGACCATCCTGCAGAGAACCGACCAGTCCAACAACTTTAATAAAAAAGGAAAATCACGAAACAAATACCTTTCTCTTTTTTCTCTCTCTCTCCTCTCTCTCTCTCTCTCTCCTTCCCTCTCTCTCTCTCTCTCTCTCTCCCTCCCTCCCCTATCTCTCTCTCTCTCTCTCTCTATAATTATATATCTCTTTCCTGCACTGTATCATCATCATCATGCATCACCCACACGATGTCTTAAACAATGAAGAGAGACTAAAGAGGGACGTCATCACGATCACACCTTCTCTGCTTTACTTTATACAGACTCATCGTATGCAACCTTTACACTCCCAAACACAGTAACACGTAGAAATAGCATCTTGGTGCGCATGGCGTGTTTTTTATCGATAACCATGAAAACTCCTCTCTTCTGACAATCAAAGAGGAAAAAATGCTAATCCAAAGACGGAAATCCTGAAAGAATTTTTTTAATTGGTCTATTATACTTTTAATTAATGTCCATTAGTTATGAATGGGTCAATATAGACAAAAAAGACAGAAAATTACAAATATATCATCTAACATAGAAATTATCTTTAAAAAGAGATAACAAAATTTATTTGCGTTAGCCCATATATCTATTTACAACACGCCCCCTCCCCCAATCCCGTGGATTTTCACGGGTCCTGCTAGTTTATAACTAATATCTGACGGCCAAGAATAGCTTGCTGCGCGCCTGAATTGGCTGCTCCCCCAAAAGGAGAAAATAATATGTGAAATTTTATATTCTGTCTTTTTCCTTCATCAAGAATAGACAGTTGATACAAACATGAACAAAATACATGGATATCAGCAGTGAGACAAATTAGTCTTGTAGTCGATATCCTGATATTTTTATGGTATCGGGTTCGATACTCAGCTAATGCATTTTTTTATTTGTTGGTTTTCTCTCGAAATTGACGGCTTTTACTAAACACCAGGGTCGCGGCGCGCTGGAAAAAACAATTTATTGTAATGATGACGATCTGGATATGCATAGACAGAAGTTTTGCACATAATGGTCAGATAGCACCAGTGACAAAGATTGATGTGAAATATGCAAAATGCAAGAGTGAGAGAGAGAGAGAGAGGGGGGGGGGGGGGAAGGGGGAATGAGAGGTCACGAGAAGAGAGAGGAGAGAGAGAGAAAGGGATACTCGAAGAGGATCCAATACCGCAGCCCAAATCAAATAAAGTCGAGTAGATGAGAAACGTTATCCACATAGTTACAATAACATTCAATAATTTAGCGGGAAAGCCAGATATTGAAAAAATATTCTTTTTGTTTTCTTCTTCAATTTGGCCAGTTATATAATAATTATTGTTGTTATTGTTTATGTTAGGGAAAAGGAATCTAAAATCACAATGTTTCAATGAATTCCTTAAAAAAAAAAAAAAATAGGAGTCTATTCCGGGGGGGGGGGGGGGGGGGAGAGTGGTAGTGTAGCTAAACAAAAAACTATTGGGTGCCT